CTCCGCCTCCCAAGTAGCTGGGACCACAGGCGCCCGCCACAACGCCCGGCTATTTTTTGGTTGCAGCCGTCATTGTTGTTTGGCGGGTCCGGGCTGGGTATGCGAACCCGCTACCTTAGGTGTACGTGGCTGGCGCCTTAGCCGGTTGAGCTATAGGCGCTGAGCCCTGTCTGGCGTTCTTAACGTTGGTCTGTTTTTGGCTCTGTTGTATGCTGCACTGGCGGCAGTGGATATTGGGCTGGTTCTGCCTGTTTGTCCCTTGCCTCGATTGCCACGCTTTCCGGTCTGAGTTTTCCGAATGTTTCCGTTCTGCCAAGGCCGGAGAGGAGTGTGGAGCTCTGCGCGCTCAGCCCGCGTGTGTGTCTCAGCCCAGTGTCCCAGGGAGTGGGTGGGTGGCAAGTGTTGCATGTATGATATTTAAATTGCACCTGTGAGTACGTTCTTTTTGTTTTGTTAATTGTGCTTTTCCTGGCATGAGTCCTTTATCTTTTTAAAGTTTCTTCTAAGTTCCTTGCTTACAAATATGTTTGTCTCTGGCTCGGCGCCTGTGGCTCAAGTGGCTAAGGTGCCAGCCACATACACCTAAGGTGGCAGGTTCGAATCCAGCCCTGCCCACCAAACAACAATGACGGCTGCAACCAAAAAATAGCCGGGCGTTGTGGCAGGCGCCTGTGGTCCTAGCTACTTGGGAGGCTGAGGCAGGAGACTCGCTTCAGCCTAGGAGTTGGAGGTTGCTGTGAGCTATGATGCCACAGTACTCTACCCAGGGCGACAGCTTGAGGCTCTGTCTCAAAAAAACAAACAAACAAACAAACAAAAAAAAACCCAAATATATTTGTCTCATCATACCAAAACAGTTTAACAAAACACACTGCTTCTTTTTTTTTTTTTTTTTTTTTGACTCCTCTTCCTTTTAGTCAAAGACATCCTGAAGAAATAGTCCACATATGCAGGACTCAAATACCATGATACTCAAAGCACACTACCAATTTTATAACTCTTTTTAGGAAATAAAAGAAACCTATGTTAAACATACCTATTGATTGTAAGACACGTTATGATTTCAGAAACAGTAAGAAAATCAAGGAAGTCTGTAATTGCTAAATCCAGTATAAGTCACGTACTTGGTTACTGCAGCATTGAACACATTGCCACCTGTTATTTCTTTTGGAACATCCCTAATGTTGGGGTACGGATTCTGATCCTGTGTCACCCTGCTCATTTTCTTATCTTTATTGTCTTCCTGCCATGTCCTAATTTTTGACCTGGTGCTTTTTCTCACTTTACAAGTTTGGAGTGGGCAATCTCATAAGTTGAAGTGAACGGTCACTGCTGGTTAAATGACTTCCGGATCTCTATTTGGCCTATCCCTGAGCTCAGTACAACATGAAATCATCATTCTCTACCAAAATGCTCCAGTTCCTCCTCACTTAGAAATACTAGTATTTTTGACTTGACATTCAGTTTACTTATGCTGTCTTTCTGTCATTGACCGTATCAGTTTTTCTTAATAGTTGTATTAGTTATCTATTGTTGTGTAATAAGGTATCTCAAAACTGAAGCATCTCACAATAAGTGTTTATCTCATAGAGTTTCTGAAGGTCAGGAATCCAGGAATGGCTCAGCTGTGTGGGTGTAGGTCAGGGTCTCCTACAAGATTGCAGTCACTGGAGCTGGAGGATCCACTTCCAAGCTCACTTAACTGTGGTTGTTGGCAAGTCTTGATTCCTTGGAGTTTCCATAGGGTAGTTCACAACAGGGTAGCTGGGAGGGAGCGAGCATCTCCTGTCCTATTCTGTTAAATGTGGGAGGGATTATAGAGGGTATGATTGAGGCCAAGAGGTGGGAATCAAAAGGGCCGTCATAGAGGGTGGCTGTCATAATAGTTTTGCTCCAGGAATTTGTTTTTCATTTCTGTCAGCCTAGGTGATAGAAGTACTTCAAGTTTGGAGTGTTTACATACCAATTAGCATGTTTCCTTTTCATCTTCTGAAATGACTTTTACTTAGGCACGACTTTCATTATATTGTTATTTTTCTGCTTAAACCTCAGTTTACTTCTTATTAATCTGATGTAATTTATTTCAGGTGTACCATGTATAAGTGCTTCATATGTGTTAATTCATTTAATTCTTTTAAGAATCCTGTGAGGTAAATACTATTAGTCTCATTTTATGGATGAGGAAACTGAAGCTCAGCAGAGAGGTTGAGTAATTTGCCCAAGACTGCTCAGTATACAGCCGTTAAGTGAAGAAGGTAGAATTTGTACCGAGGCGGTCTGTTCCAGACCTTTTGTTCAGACTTACAGTTTGCTATTCACTATTTCCATATTTGGCAGTGCCTGTTCTCAACTTTATAGCTTGTTTATTATTTATCCTCTAGGTAAACTAGACTACTGTTCCTCAACTTTATAGCTTGTTTATTATTTATCCTCTAGGAAAACTAGACTGTTGTTGTCACTACTGTCTTGTCTCTTGGTATTTGCTTATGATCTTGGTTTAGAATAATGCCACTTCTCCCATTTCTGCATGTCAAAATCTTAATTATCCATCAAGGTCCACCTCCAATCTCCCCTTCTCCCAAATCATTCCAGTTATAAGTGAACTTTCTTCTGTATTCCTATGGAATTTTGTTAAACCCACTCTTGGCTATCCTTATTCCTGTATAAGGTAGACATTTCAAGATTAGGGACTATGCCTTCACTCTATGTCCCCTAGAGCACCTGCCATTATCCCTTGCATGTATTAGATACATAATATATACCTGATGATGGATGAAAGGGGAACTAGTTTAGATTTGCAAGTATTCCAGGTTTAAAGAAGCATGGTGTAATAACCTGGTTAGAAGTCTTGGATATCATCCTCAACTCTTCAGCTAACTAATTTTGCTACTTTGGACAAGCCACATAGATCTTTCTCAACTTGTAAGATAAAAGTTGATGTGATTATAAACTGAAGTGGTAGAATTTGAAATAGTATGGAAAGGATTGAGTTGATAAATTCTAAAAGGAAGATGAGATTTAGGCAACTGGCAGTTGAATGACTGAAGAGGAGGCCAATGTGGTGGCTTATGCTGGTAATCCTAGCACTCTGGGAGGGTGAGGTGGGTTGATTGCTTGAGCTCAGAAGCTTGAGACCAGCCTGAACAAGAGCCAGACCTTATATCTACTAAAACCAGAAAAATTAGGGGGGCATTGTGTCAGGTGCCTGTAGTCCCGGCTGCTTGGGAGGCTGAGGCAAGAGGATCATTTGAGCCTAAGAGTTTGAGGTCACTGTGAGCTATGATGCCATGGCACTGTACCCAGGGTAACAGAGTAAGACTGTCTCACAAAACAAAACAACACAAAACGAAAAAGAGAAAGATTGAAGAGGAGAGAATAAATAGTGACTGAGAAGTTGAACTTGTGAGAAATGGGAAGGTTGAAGGAAGTTGGTTGCATCTTACTTGATGTTAGGATACACAGATATGTGTCATTTAAGCCCCAGAGAGTGATTAAGCTCCCCTCTTCTCCATAGTGAGCTTCTGCTTTATCCTCTCATTCCCCCTTAATATGCTGTGATTCTTTTTCTGGCTCTCTTTTCACAAAATACATCTGATTCTTTTTTTGTGATTGTGTTGTTAGTAGTGTATCTTTCAGTTCTTTGAACACCAAAGAATCCATGATTTAAAGCTCCAAGGAGAGAGGGAGAAGAAGAGGGAGGGAGGGAGATAGAGAACTAGGGAATGAATAGGAGTATTTACCAGCTATGACCAAAGATATGTGATAAGAATATACTTGGGAGTTGCTCTCATTTTGGAGTCTTTTTAATATTTTATGTAGCCACATGGATTGGTGGTTGGTAAAGTAAGCTAGCAGAAGTGTAGGGATCTTAGTTCTTAAAAGACAGCCCGGAAGTAGTTGGTGATAGAGTGCCAGATGGCAGGAGAGATGTCATGACTGGAGGGGGCTAGTGATTCTGATAAAGTGAGTGAACTTGAGACTTCAAAGTCCCAGTGAATTCCCAGATACTTAGAGCCCAGTCAGGCCCTCACTTGTGGTGCCTATGTGTGAGAGGTGCTCATGTGGTTATTGTTAGGCAGTGGTATTCAGTTCTGGAATTAGACATACATGGGGGAATAGTCTTTATACATTGCCTACTAACTCTTTGACTAGGGCAACATACCTAACATTTCTAAATTATAGTCGCTTGGTAAAATGGGGTTAATTACTTGTCTTAGAGGGTTAGTATAAGGATTAAGTGATAAGAGTGCCTGGAGACTTGATAAATGTTAATGGAAATAATAAAACACCATGATAATGAAAGAAATATTTATGTGAGGACAAATATATTGTACAACTTCTATAACTTTGCATCTGGATTTTCCTGGAATTGCCTTCTTTCAGGAATAGGAAAAAGGCTTAGTTTTAAAGTTGTTCAGTGATCGCAGGAAATTCTTTCATGATTATCTTGGTAGGAGTACCTTATGTTACCAGTTTAAGGCCTTGGTA